ATATATTCTTGTCCACACCCACCGCAGCACGCTCAATCGAGATAGATGTAAGTGAGGCTATGGGTGTATATATGGATAAGTAAAACTAAATCTATTTCTATTCCTGTCTAGCCATTTGTTATAAGGGTTATATAGATATCTATTTATATTCGAATTGATACTAGCTTGTCGGGGGTCGACTTATAATATAAGTCGAATTAGGCATCTCATGTCAAATGTATCATTTATTGTCTATACGAAACACATCAATGAGATCAGAAGAAAATTCAAATTTCAATGATTGTTCTCCATTACAGTTATATTGCGCTGATCACTTCCAAGAGTAGATGGTAACGATAATCAAAACACACCAAACGTTGTTTTCGTTGGTAGTGAGTCGAACACTTTAATATTGATAGGAAAGAGTATTTCGTACATAAAAGATAATACATCTTCTTACAAATGTTACCTTATGTTACAAATAATATTTGATATCACTTTATTCTCATATATTTCGAAAGCCATCACTTAATATCTCTTCACAAAAAAGAAGTCGTTCATCAGATAAGGTCAAATCTAAACTTAGGATTAATTTCTGTCTTTTTATTTGTATTCATCTTCACTTACTCATCACATCAGGAATGTAGATTTAGTCATACAATATACCTATATAACTATGTTATAGACTGGAATACCTATCTCAATTGAGATAGCCCGACGATAGTCCTCATATAAGAATTGATGTATAGTTAGAATTCACCTACGCGATCTATTCTCCAGATAATGATTTCATCCTCTTTTTGTAAAGTTATAGTCAATATCGAAACTGAAGGTTGATGAATGTGTAGATGACACAAGACATTGTTATGCTGTACAAACATACGCATTCACTCTAATAATTCGTCATATAGATATATTAGAAGAAGAATGAAATTTAATTCTGAATAGATAAAGAATTAAAGAGCAAATCAAGTTTTGTCATGTTTACATTAACATTACTTTTTTTATCAACAACAGTTGGTAAAATCCAATAAGATTGGTTTAATAATTGTGATTGTACATAGTAAATGTAACCAACACATGGTTGAAGTAAATTTGGATCAGAATTTGCACAAACAATAGGTAATGAAGGTTTATCTTGTCTAAAAGGCATAATTTCGATAATAAAAGTATTCGATTGAGCAAAATTTATATTTGATAAAGCTCCACCATGAATTCCGAAAATAATTTTTGCACGTGAAAATAATTCAATTTGCGATTGAATATTTTCAATATGATTTGAATGATCATATTGAACATAAACTAAAGATTTCTTTTTAGCAAAATTACGAAGATAATCAATAACAACTTGTTCGTTTAAAATAATTCGTCCAGGATTTTTTGCATTTGATCTTGTTCTTTGAAGATAAATTAAAAGATTTGATTTCGAATTTGTTTTGTTAATAAACGACCAATAAATATCTCGGGCATTTTGCCAAAGACTTGGATGAGTAGCTGGTGTTCGACATGGGTTTATTAAGAGATTTGCACCAATTTTGAGTGGTGGATTATAATGAATTATTCGATTTGATTCATCTACACCTAAACTCGTTTGAATAAACAAATTCATTTCTTTTATTATCAAAATTAAATTTACCGAGTAATTTCCAAATTTCTTTCACAGAACGATCAAATCTTAAACCTCGAATTATTAAAACTTTCGAATTCGGATAAAGATCTAAATATTTTCGAGAATGTGATAGTTTGGGTCCAATTCCATCAAGAAAATGTTGAAAACTCCATCCATCCGGAACTGTATAAATGAGAATCTCATCATAAACAACTGAAACATCTGTTTTTGACAGAAAACTTCGTCGAAAGGCTTTTTCATTATAACCAAAACCACATAAATCATTGTGATAAACACCTTTATTCACAAATGCGATGTGAACATCCAAATGTTCTTTTGAATTATTATAATAAAATCCATAAAGTTCACAATTATTATTTAAACATTTCTTTGAATACATTCGATAATAAGTTGAGTTTACAAACCAATGACGAGAATCATTGTCAAAGAAGTTCGGTAATTTCATTGTAAATGGTTCAAGTCTATAAGAGATTTGCTTAACTTCGGAATCCGAAGTTATGATCTTGTTAGCAATAGCAGGCAACGGATTGATCGTTTTGTTACCTTGAATTTCAATTGGTTTATGCGTTTTTACATTAGGAAAATTGGTTGCTGATGTTAATTTCAAAGGAATAGAAGCGCTTTTTGTTGTAATTAAATCAATTTGTTGATTCGATGTTGAATTGTTGATAATATGCCAAAGTAAAAAACAGATTTGATAAGTAACAAATATTGATAAAACTTTAATGTATATTGATTTCATTGGACACGTTCGTCGACAAGTTAATTATTCGAATATAAAACAACTAAAATTTAATTGAATAAGAATTCATTTCTAGAGTAATATGAATCATTGTTATTTTATTTTTTCCATAAAATAGAAAACTCTAAATAATCTACCTTCATAATGCTTGTTTATCTTATTCTCATGAAACTGTTACACGCAAATTTTCTCGAAAACAACGTCTTTACTCTTTCCGTAAGTGGGTATATTTTCAGATAGATCGACAAAAAAGGAGGATAGTTCGAACAAAACATATAAAATACGTCATCAGTACATCGCAATTTAGATTGACTTACTCGCTATCTTTATGTACATCTTAAAAGATTGATTGACGTATGATCTCAATGCACAAGCTTCCCAATATAGTCAGTATAGTGGCTCATTTGTCTTGTCCCTAGCTACACCTTTGTCTACTAGGATTTATGAAAGAAAATGGGTGTTACTCTTCCAATACATAGAATCATTTGGCTGGATCGTTTCAACACTTCTCAAATCCTGTTCATTCTTTCTATTTTAATCATTCCCTCCAAAATTCTGCGGGATGAGTTGTAACATCTAAAATTGAGCATAGACGGATAGATAGGTCGCTTACAACTCAACAGTGTAATTTTATACGAATATCCGAACCTGATTTTTGTAATTGGGAACGATACTCAAGGTTCTTAATTACTTTAACTCAGAGCTGATAGAATCGATTCTACATCAAATCGGTACTTTTCAGATTCACTTCACTTAGACAAAAACTCATGTCAGTGTTAAAAGAAGTAATTTAGATTGAACCACCAAGCAAAGAGCAAGACGGAATGGGTTGAAACGAATTTTTAGCTGTTCTATGGGATTATTCTACTAAACAAATCTGTAAGAGAAAACGAAATCTACGTTGAACTCGATCTTCTGCAGAATTTAGTCAATGAATATTACTCACATCGAATTAGCATGATTTTTAAATAATGAGATATTTGTTCGATCTTATATGTGAGAAAAAAAATATCTTACGTCGCATTGTCGACTAATAAAATGATATTTGTGCACGCGTTACCGTTTCTCCACGTGATGCGCGCGATTTATCGATGCAAAACGAAGGTAAAGAAACAGTTAAACATAAAAGGTGTGAAAATCAAATATAGGTACCCAGTATATTATTCAAAGCATATGGTATATTTTATTAAGAAAAACAACTAAATAAATCGTGTTTATAAGGGGTATAGAAAGTTATGATTTGACATAATCTAAAAAATTTATTATTAAACTTAACCTGATTCTCTAGTCCTCGTTTGATAAACAAATCATTTAAAATTATGTTCATCAAGTTCCTGTACGTCGATTAGAATCTTGAAAGCGAATATGTTTTGTTATTCACACCCACTCTCACCTACGTTGAAAAAATCAAAAAGTAAAACTTGTATTCTACACATGTAAGTAATGAGGCATATGCATAGTTTTCATATTCGTGCGAGTCAAATGTAAGAAGCGCACGTCTAGCAATATGTTCAGAAATTAAAACATTATTTTGAGATTGACATTCGTCAGCTGGAATAACAATTGAACTTATGCATATTGATTGGAATAGGATTGAGTCAATTAACTTGTCATAGTTCATGGTTGAAATATTCTATTCATCACACAAACACCATTTGTTGACGATGAGCCATTTCGAGAATAACTAAACACCTTCTCGTGCATAATGGAAACACGTAGTTTTTCGTTTTACAGGAAGAGAATAGTTGTCGATTCGAATAAAAACGCAAATATTTGAGCGAATCATATCATTTGTTTTTACATTTTAGGTCGCAGAGATTTCCTAGTCGATATGAAACTCAAAGATCTCAAACGGCGACTAGCAGATCTCTTCATCTTTTGTCAAACATTGAAGTCGCTGTGAAAGATTTTGATTTCGTTCAGCTGAGAATTTCCAATTATTTAATAGAAATAACAACAATTATGAGGAGATCGACGAGAACGAATACTCGTCAAAATTCTGTCTATATTTCAATTAAAGAATTTTTTTCAGAATTGATCGTTTTGAATATTATCTCTATTGACTTAATATTTCTGATTTGAATCGCAATTTTTTATTGAATATTGCTTTTGTCAATGATTATTGTAATTTCTCATTTAGACATGACCGTCTATCTGTACTAACTGCAGATTTTGTTGTTACTGTTCGGAGTGATAATTTGACATTAGAGTCACTTCAGATGGTTATTTTATTTTCAATGTTCTTTTTTTCGATTTAAGTGATGAAATTATGAAATATTCAAAAGAAATCTTTACAATTAACTTTGATCATTACGACAACAAAGTACATAAGGTGACATTTTCTGTCTATTAAAAGTATATAGATATGAATACAACCTGATTAAATTGATGACATTGTTTCAAATTACGTCGAATATTTGATGTATGGTTCGATTCTGTAAATCTATCGAATTTTTCTATGTGGCTGATGAAAACAAGTCGTTTATCTCATTCTATTCATCAGACCATCTGCTACAAAGTTACACACTACTTTTATTCTCTTCTGTTCTGTTTGAAGAAAAATCGTGTTTACGAGAAATGAATATTCGTCGATTTTTTCATTTTAAAAAGAGATTTTAATAGAGAAATAAAAGAATCTTCGGAATCTACACAAACCACTGAATTACGTCAAATTCATCGATTAAATATCAGGATTTACAAAAGGACGAGAAGGTAGGTGTTCACACTCTATGTTTAATCGTCTCTTCTCTGTATCTGTTGGAACTCAATCAGGAATTACAACCTTTATTGATATACTCTAGATCATAATACTCACCTTCAACAATAGGACTCATTTAGATTTTCAAAAATCATCTTTCCTATCGTCGACGATTAATATCGAAATGAAGACTGATGAAAATGCTGATTTTCTCAATACCATCTCACCTTATTTTTCCGTAAAACCAACAAAATATGGTGGTCGTGGTTGTTTTGCCAATACTGATCTTGTTCAAGGTACAATTGTTCATCGATGTTCTTCACCATTGAGTTCAACTATCACTCGACCATTTAAGAAACAAGTGTGTGAATCGTGTTTCAAATTTTCCGAAGGAAAAACTTTCAAATTTAAACTAACGTCACGAAAAAACACATCGACATCAACTTCTCCATCAGCACTTTATTTCTGTTCTCAATCTTGTATGGACAAATTCATTGCTTTAGATATCGATGATTTATACTTAGAAAGTGTATTGAATGTGGAAAGACTTTTCCTCAGAATATTAAAAGATCGATGTCAAATGAACTTTAAAGACGAAGAAGAACAAGAAACTGAAATGATTTTGAAATTAGAAAATGAATTGAAACAAAGTAACAATAACGAATTATTCATTTCTCAAAAATGGCAAGAAGTTGAAATGATTTGTCAATTACAATTATCGAAATTGAAAACAAAACAAAGACAAAATTTAGATGGTTTCATTCCTCGAATTAATGAAAATGAATATTTGGATATAAAATACATTATTGGAATTTTATGTCAAATGTATAAAAATGAATATAAATCATTATCCAGCGAATCTTCTTCTTCATTAGAACTTCAAATATTTCCATATCTTCAATCAAATGATGTTGAAAAGATTTTCAAATATCCTTATTTACTTCATTCTTATACAAATAAAATTTACAAATTTTTGAAGTTCTCGACATGTGAAAATCTTCAACCGTACATTACTCCACCCATAATTCGTTCAATTATTGGGAAAACTTTAACAAATGTTTATGGAATTTGGTCAATTGATGAAACTAATGGAAATGAGGAATTCTTTGGATATTCTTTGTATCCATCTGCTTCATTTTTCAATCATTCATGTCATCCAAATGTAATTAAAATTAAAAACGAAGGATATTTCTCTTTTAAACTTTTGAGAAATGTTCAAAAAAATGAAGAACTATGTGTAAATTATGGTGTTTATATTAATGACGATTTCGAAACCAGACAAAAATTCTTAAAACAATGGTTCTTCGATTGTTTATGTCAACGATGTGTTGAAGAGATCAATGTAAAAAACAAAGAAAAAGTGTAAGAATGTGAATACGTGTTCATTTTCACTCTCATCTTTAATCGTAAAAATAATCAATTATTGTAAAAAAAATACTATCGTCAAAGTTATTTCAGTTAATCGAGTCTATACAAAATCATCTATAGATACTTTTGGGCAACATCGAAACGTTTGCGTCTGTCACGTCTCGTTCTACATTAGAAAAAAGAGCGTTTTTTGTTTCGTCTTCGATCAATGTGTGTTGATAAAACAAGAAGGTGAATTATTTTTCAATAAATGAAATGTTTGAAAAAGAAAGATGATCTTTAATGTCAGATAAATTAATCTTCTATTCTTAAGTTCAAAATGATCAACAGATATTTCAGTTGGTTAAAAATGATCTATTTTTCTATTCTGTCATAAACAACACGGAGTGTTTTTAGACGAAAATACAAACATTTGTTTGAAAGATAAAACAAAATAGATCGCTATCTGATGTTCAACGCTTTTTTTCTCTGCGATATATTGATATTCTAGAAAATACTCGTGTGTATCTCTGAAATGAATCAAAGAAAAGCATCGAATCTAATGGATACTCTTTAAATCCAGTATTAACAAATATCATGTGATTTCATATGAAAATATCTTCAATAACTGTGTAGTGTTAAGACTTCTCTTCTGCTTGAGAATGTCGCTTCAAATCTCATTTGATGTGCCGCAATGGATCGTCAACTAGAGGAACTTTTTCTTTTTTTAATCAGATTCTTTTTGTAAATAAATCGAAGTGTGTTTCAAATGAATGAGATTTCACAAATTGTAAATCCCAAATTAATTCGTGACACACAGTACAAGCTAATAGATTTAAAGTTTTGTTTTTTCGATCGAAATGAGACTGATGAAGAGGATCAGAATGAGAGAAGTTCTTCATGAGAAAATTCTCAGCGAAGGATACTGATGCTGAATGTTTATATAATAGAGAATAATGCATTTCTTTTATCAAATTAATAAAATTTCATAGACAAAAATAACACTACATTTGGATACTCATGACTCAAAAGTACACAGTCAATCATTCTATCGACATTTTCTCTTTTCCAAATATTGACTGATTCGTCGTTGAAAATATTTCATACGCAGATTGAATTGTTCTCGATAAAGTGGAGATGGGATGACATATATGATAAAAATCGATGCTGCAGGAATAAATGAAAGAAAATAACCATTGAGAAAAAAGCTAAATAAATCAGATGATTTTCGACAATCTAATATAACTGAAATGATCAAATGAGGTAATGTTAATATTGTTATAATAATTGGACTAATCACAAGTTGTTTGTATTTAATGAACTTTATTTTCAGCTGATCTCGAAAACTTTGATCCTCATGTAATGATAATCGTTGATGAGCTGTGGCTATAATAATGACGAATGTTGATAGAATTTGAATACATAATGGTCCAAAATAATTGAAAAATGTCATTCCAAGTGTATATTTCTTTAACCACGATTTATAATGAATTACACACCAACTTCTTCCTTCCATTTCATCTTCAAATACATGAAGATAAATCATTTGAGGAATGAGAATTGTAATATTACAAATAAATACCCATGGAATAACTTTTCTTGCAACTTGTCGACTTCTTTTACTGAATGATAAACCATGAACAGCTGTATAACTTCGTTCAATTGCAATAGAAGCATTCAACCAATTACCAATAAATAACGATAATTTTAATAAAATCTCGATACATCGACAATTGATTGTAAGAATCAATTCCACATTGGACACATCTTGATAGGAAAGATATAATAATGAAAATTTCAATACGAAAAATATCATCGTCGATAATGAAGTCATCGATAATGCTAATAAATATAATCCACAACCAACTTCACGTGCTTTCGGTTGTGAAAATGCAATGTATGATAAGATAACATTGATTATTCCAAAACTAAAAATAATCAAAGTTATTCCAGCACTTAATCGAATGGAAAATGGTTGAGAAGCAAGATTTTTCTTTGCTAGAAATTCATATCCTAAGATTTCATCTAATGTTGAACCGAGACCTTTCGCATAGAATTGACATTGTTGACCAAAAAAACAACTTGGACATGAACAAATCTTTGTCGATGGACAATAAACATGATCTTGATAACATTGACCTTCATTTAAACAATATCGATCATTTAATGAACATCGAAAATGATCTTCAGAAGTGTACATTTCTCGTTGAAATCGTAAACAATTTGCATGATTATCATTTGTACACAAACATAAATACATTGCATCAATAAAACAAATCAAATTTCGATGTTGTAAACAAATGCGATGAAAATAAGGTATTCGTTCATATTCATGTAATTCTAATATTGTTGAATTGAGATAATTGCTAACCGGATGACATTGTTGTTTAGAATTCAATTGTGTTAATGTATATCTGAATGATAAATGTTGAAGATAAATAAGGTAAAAATCATAATGATTGATTTGAATAAAAACTAAATGGAATGGAATTGAAATATGAAATGTTACGATATGTTGAAAGAGTGTTAATTTTCGAAGAATTATTGTTTTTTGTGGTTCTGAATGATTTGAAATAGCATAAAAATGTGCAACGAGATAAGATGAAATCTCAATATCTTCAAGTGCAACATCTAATTGCCATTTTTTATATTCACAATTTAAACCATAATATTTGTCGTTGCAAACACAAGTATATTTTCTTCCAAATGCATTTTCATTATCATTTTCAATGCATTGACCCTGATTTTGACAAAGATTCATTGAACATTGTGATGTCATTAAGGTACAACTTGGTCCATGTCGAAACAATGGACATACACAAATCGATTGACGATTGTTTGTCAAACCAATAAATAGAGATTGACTGGAACATTTATTTTCATTTGATTCAGCTGTTATCCATCGACAAAATGATTTGTTTTTCATATTAATGTATTCGATGCATTCTTGTTTTCCATCTAAACAGTTCTCATCACATTTCGCTTTTCTTACGATCACATTCGATGATAAGTTCAATGCAATACCCAACTGATTCACAGGTAAAAACATAAATGGAATCGAATAATACCAATGGCCAATGTAAATCAGTGAATTCTTTTCAATAACATCAATTCGAACACTATAATTTGTTAAAATATTGTTTGGTCTTGTTGGATACAAAAGAACTCCATGCCATTTCATAGTGCAGCTTTGTTTTGCAATGTATTGAAATTGAGTAAATGTTGTGATTTGATTGTTTTGTTCATCAACTAATAAGATGACAATTGCATAAGTTTCATATCGATTGGTTGAACTTAATTTCAATGATAAAGAAACTCGTTGATTTTGATATTGACATTGATTACCATAATAACTGGCTGAACATAAACATTCATATGATGATAGATTATTCAGCTGTTTTTCAATCATTATGCCACGATTACAATAATGTGACCAACGTTGATCTTCTTTTGTGAATGTTTGATTTGTGTTCACTTGCAGCAAGTCTTCTTGGCCTTTGTCGTTTTTGGTTTCGCCCAAATGTGCGTGATCATTGTGATTATATGGCTGTGTTGAAGCAGGATACGGTGATGACGTGTGGACCGAAAAGAATCTAATTCTATGCTTATTGTCTTCATTAAAGCTGCAAAGAATTTGTTCGAGTTGATTTCGTTCGTGCGATGCGCTTTGATGACATGTGAACCGTTGATGTTCACAGAATTTTTCGTCATCTCCATAGCGTGGACATTCAACTATACCGTTGCAGAATTGTGATGATCCTAAACACTCGTTACTGTCTAAACATCGAAGACGAGTAAGACCGTTGTTCGAGTCGAATACGATGCAATCTTCTTGTTCATCAGTTGCTCCAAGGCAATCATCGACACTATCGTTGACACGATCGCCAGGTAGACATGATACTGTGTAGTTGTGACGAGAGATACATGGATGACTTCCTAATGGACATGGTAATTGATCACAGTTCCATTCATCACGTCCATCGTCACACGCCCAAAATCCATCACATCGTGAATAGATGTTGTCACATAACGAATCGATATCACAATCAGATTCATCGAATCGAATTTGTCTGTTCAAGTTGTGGTAAAAGTATTGTCGGATGCCATCACAAAAGCTTTGAAATGGGAGAATTTCTTTGCTTCGTTCGTTGCTCGATTCACAGGCAAACTTTTTGTATATCGATGACCAACACTCGTTTGCTTCACCGCATCTGATTCGATGTCGGTCGTTTAGAGAACAACTATTTTGGTGGTATTCATCATCACCCTCGATGCAATCGTTCAAATTATCTTTGATGCGACGGAAAGGAATCATTTTCGACGAGTTTAAACATTGATATAAGTTGAAGTAGTTTGAATCTGTCATTGCATTTATAAGAAAATGTTTCGAGACGAAACAAAAGCGAAAATTTTCCTCGACCCATCGTACTAATAGACTCCAAGGATTCTCAACTAAATTATACCATTCTGGCCATTCATTCCATTCGTTCACACAAGTAAGATTATTATGAGGGCCTGGATGAAATGAACTAAACTCGCAAAGTTCTCTGTTGTAACATATGTAGTCAGGCACAAAATTATTCGTCAGATTGTCACGATATTGAACATTGCTATAGTAAAATCGAACATGACTCGAATAGACTGCAACCGTTGGAAATTGAAAGAAAGAATGACACGCTGCAAGATGTGTACTAGCGGAGTCATTCGCTAACCACATATCGCATGATTTTCCGTTGATTTGTTTGATAAGTTTAGTCAAACAGGCCATTGTCACCCAACATTCTTCATTCAAATCACCTTGCCGTAATGTCGAATTAATCAATAGGTGATGTCGACCACTATGGCACGGTTTAAAACTTGTCACACAGTCACTATCACCGCATGCAAATAGTCTATTACTTGGCCGACAGGAGTGTTGTTCACATCGAAATGACACATCTTGATAACACTTATTCAAATAAGATGCATCCAGAATTTCATCAGATCGATCCAAGCAATCTGCGTCACCTTCGCCGCCATCCCAGAGATCTTCTGCAATGCACATACCATTGTGACATTGATATTCATCTATTTTGCATTTATTCATTTCCAATGCAAAACAATGTTCTTCATCGGTGCCTTCATCAAAACAATCCACAATTCCATCACAAATTTCACGCCAATCAAGACACCATTCTATTCCATTTCGATGACATGCAATTAGAACATAACATGGTATCGGTGCTGACAGTGTTACTCCGTCCTCTGACTCTGCATACGATTGTTTACTTCGAAATGTCGCATCTACAAGATCCTCGAATGACATGCCTTGTTTGAGACGAGATCCAAATGAATATTGGCATCGCATACCAAATTGTGGAGGAGTGCAATTGTAGTAATGCTCATTCATTAATGCCATCTTGTAGTTGCTCAAATAAAGTTGATAACGTTCAACTACAACCATTGGAATCGACCATGACAGAAGTTGTTCTGGAGTGATGCCCATGTCACTCACGCTTTTAAATGAAAGTTGACGAGCAAGTGGGTGAACGAATGTCTCTGGTGTTTCATTAGATTGATACATTGGACGAAAACAAAATGATATCAATTCAGTAGTGATATCGAATAAATCTTGATTAGCAAGCTTTGTTCGATATTGACGATGATAATCCAAACAATCGTATTCTAATACATTGCTACCAGCCATTTCTTGGATATGGTCCATATTCAGCCGACATGTCGTCAATGTCAACCGAAGAAAAAGTAGCACAAAAACCTGAAATATTTCTCTACCTTCAATTCTAATCATTGTCTTCAATACAGACACCGCATTCTGACTAGTTTATCTCAAAGGATTAACTATATGAGAATGAGAAAAACGATGTTGTCTTTATTAGAATAATAACGAATAAGTAATGGAGGATTATATAGAACGAGGAAAAAACTAGTAGCGTGACAAAAGCTCGTAGAAATATGATCACCTAATGTATACCAAAACTACACAATGATCATGGCTTTGACTTTTTTGTCTTTGTATTTATTGAACGTGTGTTTGCAGTAGTTTACAGTTAATGAATACCATAGAAGAAAATAATCACGTAATTGTGATGTTCATTAATATAATTTGGATGAGAGCGCATATAGACATTGAAAGCTCGGACTTCTGTTGCAAGCATCAGTGTGAGCTTAACTCCAGTCACCAGTTTAAGATTGTGACGGATGTGTACCCGGTAGAAGATTTATTTTAAACTTCTAGATAATCAGAGTTAGAATCCGGGTCCAAAAGTTGTTGGACCCGATGGGCTCTATAAAAGGCACAGCGAGTCACATAGTGAACTGTATAAACGATTGGAAGACACTGATTGATTCTAATATTGCGCTCATATTTTCTGTTTGTTACAGTGGTAGAATGCTTCAAACCTGTTATCCGTAACACATAATTGGTACTTTAACCATGTTCAATTAAAGCACATATTTCATTAGAATAGGAGCTATTTTTGAATGCATTCCTACATTTCACAATGTCCAGCACATCTAGAATGGTTTCCTTATGATGCCAAGGGCTTCAACAATGATTTGGGTGAGTTTCACCCTCAAGATCTCCGAACTCGATTGAGAGAAATATGAAAGATTATTTTGAAGGCGGTCGGCCACACAGCTCGATTTCAGTAGTAAACTCGTTTTTTGTGCATATGCGTCGGTTTTTTTGTTTTTTACAGCTGACGATCACGCACCAGCGAAATATTTGGAGTGAAAAAAAAATGTTTGTTAGATTCTCGAATAAAGTGCAGCAAGAAAAATCAATACTAAGTGGCAATCATCACGAAGACTTGTTGTAAAAGAAAGATTCAGATTATCAAAATTTATTTATAATACACTAGAAATAATCAATGTTGCTTCTCAGTCGAACCAAACAAGCAGCGTTGTCCTGCGTTGTATTCAAATCTCTGCACTCAAATGTGATAGATAAAACACTTCAGATGGAAATGAATTTACTTGGGAAAATGTTTGTATAAATGAAAGGATTCATAGTGTATGTTAATCATTCTGTTACTTTTATTTATTATTAATCTTTATTCATATCAAATTTTCGTTAAAATTCTGGATTAATCGAAAATGCGTGATCGTCGTTGGTTAATTTCTGCAAAAACATCGTATTTTGCTGTGATAAGGAATACAAGCACCTGAAGCAAAGTCATGTATCCGACACCAAGTTCTGCATTTGGCTTGATTTTTTTGATCCGTACCATCGCAGTAATAGACACGACGAACAAGTGATGCATCATTGCCCACATTCATTTCTATACACGCATTATTCAACTCGATATCAATTGAAATCGTTTCTCTTCTTACTACTTTCTGCACTTGTATTGGATTGATTCATCGCTTCTACTGCTATGAATACGACAGCGATGAGTACAATTACTATGAAATTCTTGTAGCTTGACATTTCTAAATAGAATATCTTATTTGTGATTGTTTTCAATATATTACTTTGAAGTATGTACTTACTTCTCTTTGATAGTTTTGATGGTTTCTTTTACTTGTAAGTTCCAAATAGAATATGAATTTTTACAAGTGATTGATTGTTATATATACTACCACTACAATATCCCCACTTGATGATCTATCCCATTGATAACAGATTGGAAAAAAATCGTCTTACTTTTCGAATGTCACTCACCCACGCCCAGTTATAATTACGTATTTTATTACCCGTGATAACACATGATAATTTGTCATGATTATTCATATAATTCTGCTTTTAAGTTGGTAGAAATTTATTTCCTAGCAATTCAAAAAAAAGGAGGCAACCTACCTTCCGCAAATAGATCTACTCGTCATTTTGAGAGAAGATAACATATGTTCGTTATCTTTTCAATACGCTTGTTTCTTCCGTTTTTCTACCAAAGCATTTCACTGATGGTGAGTTCGTTTTCAAAGTAGAGTGAGATGACAGTGAACGAACAATACGTTGGCAATTTTAAAATCGATCATCATCAAGCCCTGCAAACAAAACTATCACTTTGATCACAACTTGAATTTCTATAAATTAATAATGATAAAAAGAATCTTGCGCTTCATATTCTTCAGCAAACTGGTTTAGAAATCAGAACAATTGAATTATGTTGATCATTTTATGGCAAACTTATGTTTATCAATAACATAAATCTTTTTTTTATGAATATTCATTCACTTAATGTTGTTAATCATCAGTGTTTTTTCATCAATGCTTTTTCGGACATCACACAATTGTGAGAATAAAGCATGGCAATGATATCTTTGTCTCGACAAATTTCGCCGAAATAAAAATATTTACGATTCACAACTGACGTAAAACATACAATGACGTCATAGATTTTTCTTTTCTGTGTATTCAGATTTTCGAGATGATGTATATGATAATTGTCATAGGCAAATATGTAGACGAACATATGCTGTTTTTCTCATGTTTTTTCCAACGCTGAATGGAAGTAAAGTTGAAAGTCACACTCTAGAAACTAGTTAAATCGAATAAATGACAATATTTTTCGGTGCATTTTATCATAGCATAGTTTTTCAAAAGATATCTATTTCTTTATCAATGACCTGTCGTTTAATGTAGTTTGGACAACAACTCAACAAATAAGTCAGTAGTATATCGGTGGTTATCCTGCATGATCATAGTCTCAAATATATGAACAAGAAAAGATAGTTAATCGATCAAGACTGTTAGAATCTGGTGGAACCATCCTGATCCACATCTTTCCAAATGTAATCTCAATCCATGGAGATTTATCACGAAAGCCCTGATGATGCTCAGTATAAAGAAGCTCTACTGTGTCTAAGATTTTCTTTTCTTTAGATTTTAAGTCTTCTCTCATTTTTCAAAAACCTAAATGATTTCGTTGCTGCAAATCGAACGGTGAGACAAGGATGAAAGCGATGTGTAAACGTGCTACTCTCATCCTCGAATTACAGGAATTTCGACCCTAATTCATTATTAAATGTAACTAATTAGTTATTAATTATCAGCTGCATACTGCTGAGCGGTAAGAATGTCGAGAGATCGCATTTAAATAAATTTACACAGTATCGAGAATATATTTTTATTCACTATACTTCAAACGGTTGTCTAAAACGCTAGTTCCTACAAATGACTGGATCAAGTTTAAACAGGTTCACTGTGAAGAAAAATGATGTAGAAGAAAAAACTGTATATTATATTTATTCAATTATTCAATATTTCTCAATTCTGTCAAGCTTTTCTTGGTTTTTAACGTTTTGTTCAGTTTCGACTAGATAAGAGCCTAGACGGTAACTTGAAAGTACAAAATGAATCATAGTGTAGTGGTCAAGGACCTATGGTATGCTTTCTAATGGAATATTTTCTTTTTATTTACTGTAACACACTTTTCTAAACAGCATTTTGTTTCTGAACTCGTAGTTTTCGAACGAGGACAACATAGAATACATTCACAATGCATTGATTGAGAACAGAAAGAAGAAACTGATCGAACGTTTTTTTGTTCCATATGTAACTGTGCGTTGACATTGTTTTCGCGATTGATGCGAGCATTAGATAAATAGAATGTGATTTTAGATTTCTCAAAAAGAAAAACAACGTTCCACAAGACAATTGGTTTGATATTCGTCATTCGCATTGAATCTAATCGAATCACTATCAAATGTTAATTGTCACTTGTTTAGCATTGTCTGTTCATCATATTCTTTTTTAAAATATTTGATCGAAGGAAAAAAAACAAATATTTATTTAGAAAAAACTGATCATTCACCTACATATCGTTTTGTTCGCTTCATTGTACAAAAAAATTGACGTTTATACATACGCTCGGTTACGCCAGCTTGTCTTGCAACCGATGATTTTACGGGCGAAAGCATACCATTGTATTCCTAGAAGTAGTACGATGCCAAATGGATGTAAAATTGCTCCACGCCAGTCTTGACGGAAACGAGTTATTCCAAGAATACGAGGTAGATAAGCAGAAACGACAGAAATCAGAGTCATCGTAGAATACAAATGGAACCAGTAAGAAGTTGATGAATTATTGATCTGCTGATAGATAAGAGATCCTAAGTTCATAAACGGTAGGACTTGCCCGAGAAAAAGTAATGCCGTCGTAGGAATAATCAATGTCGGAGAGCCAAGACCTTCAGTAGCATTTTTTGCAAGTCCATTCCATACTTCACTGGCAGACGTGTACATTCGACAACTAGCTAAATTCGTAAGATCAGCGAGATCGGTTTTAAAACCAGCTGTTCGGAAAAGTCGCGGTAGACGAAGACCATCGTGCATGGTTAACTNCTTTGTCTCGACAAATTTCGCCGAAATAAAAATATTTACGATTCACAACTGACGTAAAACATACAATGACGTCATAGATTTTTCTTTTCTGTGTATTCAGATTTTCGAAATGATGTATATGATAATTGTCATAGGCAAATATGTAGACGAACATATGCTGTTTTTCTCATGTTTTTTCCAACGCTGAATGGAAGTAAAGTTGAAAGTCACACTCTAAAAAGTAGTTAAATCGAATAAATGACAATATTTTTCGGTGCTTTTTATCATGGAATAGTTCTGCAAAAGATATGTATTTCTTTATCAATGAACTATCGTTTACGTACAGTTGGAAAACAACTCAATAAATAAGTCAGTAGTATACCTGTGATCACCTCGCGTGATCGTAGTCTCAAATAGATGAAGAAGAAAAGATTATTACTCGATCAATACTGTTAGAATCTGGTGGAACCACCCTGATTCACATCTTTCCAAATTTAGTCTCAATCCATGGAGATTTGTCCTGAAAGTCCTGATGATGTTCAGTATAAAGAAGCTCTACTGTATTCAAAATTTCCTTTTCTTTTCATTTTGTCTTCTCTCATTTTTGAAAAATCTAGATGATTTCGTTGCTTCAAATCTAACGGCGACACAAGGATGAAATTGATGTGTAAATATGGTACTCAGCATCGCCCTCAAGATGGTGTACAAAGGACATTGACTAACGCGATTGATCGTTGGTTGATCTAAACAAAAAATTCTAATAGTGCAACATGTGAATTCGTCTGTAACTTAGTTCATTTAATATCGATACAATCTATACAGAACGGACCAAAGGAAAATTCTTCCTTAAAAGAGTCAACGAATTCAGAGATGATGAGCACTACTTATTATCAACATGTAAGTGCATTCTATGAATGGATCAAATGAACATCTTTTTTAATAATGAAGATGTAGATGCGAACGAAGATCAGAGAAACACCTTAATATGGCTACAAGGTCTTTCTGACGTTTTTTTTTAAATTAAAATAAAGTATTTGAATTTTGATGTGATTTTTGATTTCGTAATGCATAAAGATGACAATAGTCTCTTGATGACGTCTTGTAATATTTTAATCTGACACATAGATCCGTAATTTCCTCCTAAGAGTTTCTAACATAGGGAAATAACCGAGTATTATATATAATAATGAAAATGCAAAATCTATATCATTTATATCGTTAGAAAAGAAGTGAATCTAAGTCAAACTTTGTTTTCTGGGTCAAAACGATGACAAGTTCAGCGGATAACAATGAAATTCTTCGTCTTCAATCAATCGCTAAGTTTCTCGATGGTTATGGTATAATGATTTTCATTGTCATTGGTACAATAGGAAATCTAATAAATATTCTTGTTTTCCTTCGAAATAAAACACTTCGTCAAATGTCAAATTGTATTTTCTTAATTATGTTATTTACCAGTAATTTAACATCTTTGTGGACATCTCGTTTTCCACGTAGTATGGTCACTATTACTGGCATTGATCCATTAGTTGGTAACATAGTTTATTGCAAAATTCGTTGGCTATTTGGACGTTGGAGTTTCTATATGTCATACATATACATTTGTTTATCATGTATTGATCGATTTTTAAATACGTCACATCATGAACGTTATCGACGTTTAATGACATTCAAACGAGCTGCAATTATTACAATTATAATTAGTTTGATCTATTTTATAATCTTTATTCCAGATGGAATTTATTATTCAGGAAATGGATGTACAGCATCAAATAGTGATCGAGCACTATATGCACAATTTCTTAATTATTTTAATTTAGTTGCCTGTAGTTGTGTACCGATGGTGATTTTGGCTATTTTTTCTATACTTACATGGTATAATCTTTATTCAGTACGAAATGTTCATCATAGTCGACTTCATCGTCAAGTTAATTTAATGATGATTGTTGAATTTAGTGTTATATTTGTTGGTACAACACCAAATTTTCTATTTAATATTTATACACAAATTACTCAATCAATGGTTAAATCAAATTTAAGAGTAGCGCAAGAAGGTGTTTGGAGAAATGTTTGTGTTCTATTTAGTTTTCTATTGTATGCTGGGACATTTTATATTTATATAATTATGTCAAGTGCTTTTAGACGAAATGTTAAAAATGCTATCTGTTTTATGCGATCGAATCAACTTCATTCACAAACAGTACCTTTACAAAGTAAAAGAACTGTTGTTTAGATTTTAATTACTTTCCTTGGTACATATTTTACTAAAAAGAACTAATTTGAGAAGTAATTGGATGTTGTTCGTAATTCATTTATGGATTGATTTTCATAAATTCAACAGTTTTTATTATTATATGTTCTCATATGAATTATCCTATTTTCTCCTGAATTTGATGAATATTTCAATTTTACATTCTTTATCCTGAGGATTGAGCACGAAGTGAGGGTGTCTAATGAATGGGTCACAGACTGTATGCTACAAGTCAAAGGTGCAAACATATATTCTTCGGTTAGCAAGTTTAGAACTCGTAGGAAAGTTTTAATACTTAAATAGAGTTAGCGATTTCTAAACGACTTCTTCTTTTGAAAATCAAGACTTCAGGGGTACGATGTTCATCGTAAAAGTATCTCGTACATCATTTCCATCGTTTATTCTCAGAAAACTTGTAGACATATTGAAAGTGTTATTTTACACGGTAATAAATGATTGCATTCTCGTGATTCATTTTGAGAGACGTAAAATGAAAGAGAAACATTATGATCCATTATTGATAGATCTTTTATTTCAAATTGAAATAAAGCGAAAAGAAAACTTAGCATGAGTTTAAAAATATATTTAGAGTCTGGTTCCATATACTCGTAGCGACGATATCTAACCGACCGTCTCCATTCAAATCTGCAATACCTACTGATGATAATTGCCAATCACCTGTTAAGTTCATGACGTTACCGAAAGTTCCATTACCAGAATTGAGAAAAATAGTCATATAATTATCGTTAGCGGTGGGAACAACAATATCAATATTTGTATCATGATTTAGATCGCCCACAGCCACTGACATTGGATAGTATCCTGTTTTATATTTAATTTGAGATTGAAACGTTCCATTCCCATTATTATAAAGTAAACTTATTGAACTATCTTTATAATTAGTAGTAACAATATCCACATAATTATCTTTATTAAAATCTCCTACAGTAATACCCCATGGACTTGTTCCTGTTGAATATGGTCGACGTTGTTGAAAGCTGCCATTGCCAAAACCAATAAAAACACTTACTGTGTTACTTGAATAATCTGTCGCTGCAAAATCTAGATAATTATCATTATTAAAATCAGCAGTAACTACTGCTGTGACATATGAACCTGTAGATACAACAGTATTGTTCTTAAACGTTCCATTACTAAATCCCAATAAAATACTAGCAGTATTATCGTAATCGTTAACAGCAACAAGATCAAGATGACCATCACCATTGAAGTCACCATTACTTACACCATATGGATAACTACCAACAGGTAGATCAATACGTGTGTTGAAACTTCCATTACCAATGCCACGAAACATTCCCAAACTGTTAGCTGAAGCTTGAGCTACGACTAAATCTGCATTGTTATCTTTGTTAAAATCACCCGCAGTAACAAATACAGAATATGATCCAGTTGAAACGACTGAAGCAACTTTAACTGATCCATTTCCATAATTCAAATAAATTCCAACACTTGGATCATTTGCATTAACAACGGCGATATCGTTGGCATTATCATTATTTAAATCAGCAATAGCCAGTGACCAAGGTTTTGAACCAGTAGAATATGATCGATATGGACTAAATTTTAAGATTTGACATTGTGTATCTAAATAATGTGAATATCAATATCAGTTATATAAAAAAAGAATAAATGCTCACTGGACGAAGTCGTGCTCATACCAGAACCATTTCTATTTGAAACTGAGGCTGGGGTTGAGGTTGAAACTGAAGTTGGAGTTGAGATTGAGATTGAAACCGAGGTTGATACTGAGGTTGAAACTGAGGTTGAAGCTGAGCTTGAAATTGAAACTGAGGTTGGAATTGAACCTATAGGGATGAATAAGACCTTTTTTTAAAATAAAACTATAATACATGCCTGTAGTCACGTTAACTGTAATTGGATTTGATGATGATGATGCATTTTGACGAGAAACAAAGATATATGTAATGACACCAATAATTAACAGAATTAGTATTGCAATAATAACTATACAAATTCGGATCTTTTGAGGTGTGCAAATAGATCTAAATGATGCATGTTGTTTTCATGAGACATAGATACTATTGAATGCATACTTTTTTGTCTTTTTGGCAAATTCTAACGATGCGGAGGAGTCCATTGTCGCTTTCGGCTCAACTTTCGAAACAGGATAACTCTAAATACAATAAAAATTGATCAGAAATTATTAACACTGATATTATTTACTTACATTCATTGCAATAATGTTTATACAGAAAGAATATCAACAATTTATATAGGTAAGCTGAAGAATTTTGTTATTTCCGTTAAATATAATTACTTTTTTTGTTTTAAAAACAACGATATATGTTATTGTTTTATATATCTCTCCAAAAAGTACATATTATTTTTAATGTCTATTCGAGTGCGTTCGTTTTCATGTCATTTATGTCAAAAGAATTATTCTAGTTTTTCATAAACATGCCAACAGAAGCATAAAAGCCTTGAATTTTAATGGAACATGATGTTTATAAGTCATTATTTCGCTTCATATGACATGTAAAATATACTTCAATCAAATTGATGTATGTAATTACTATTAAAGTATGTGTTATATACATCTTTGTGTTTTTTCTGATCGATTGCGTTGATTTCGATCTTGAAATGACGAGCTAAATCAACTTGCGTGATGTTTTTTCGAATAACATACATGGTAAAGTTTATCTGGTTATGAAAGCAGTGGCATATAACGCTCTTACCTATGAAAAGTTTCATTTTTGTGCATTCAAAATCTGAATACACTACAGAATGGGTAAGCATGTCCGGCCGTTAATCCGATAATTCTTGCTGGATGTTGGTGAAGTTTTCGTCGGCCTGTCCGCTTGATCCTCTTTCATTCATTTCCTGTATCAGTTATGAGCACTCAAGTGATCCTATAGTTGTTAAAACGCTGTGAAACTTTTCACACTGCTTTCTTTGTTCCTGGAAAACACCGAGAGAGCGTTTGTTGATCAGTGAAGGGTGGGTATTACTGAGTTGAATATGATTTGAGTGAAATCCGATTCAAATGGTTCTGCGATGGAAAACACGCCCGAATTTCAATGGAACTTCGGAAATATACTTAAATGTCAAAAGAATGTGAGTATTCTTGATAGTACTCTTTATCCTAAGGGTGTGAGCGTATTTCACCCAGATCACCCATTTGCTACTTATAGGTCTCAAATATTGATGCCATCGCTAAAATTTACACGGTGATATGTTAGATTGAACGAAGGGTGATGGTGAAAATAGATGAAGGTTACGAGAATGAGTGCGAACTGACGGATCTGGGTGAAATTAACCTAAATCAGTTTTTGTATTCGTTAACGTTAATCACGTTGTTGTTAAAAAATGTGCTTAGCTTGAAAAGAGTCAAAGTGTCAACATTATGTCACTAAGAAAAGATTTGAAACATTTTAGTATTACAGTACATTGGGAAGGCGAGCACATTGCTCGAACCAATCAGTGTACTCTCTACCGTTGGTCTACATGATTACTCCAGAAAAGCTAATTTGATTATAATGAAATTTCCAATCGTTTATTATCGCATCAGAATCTAACTGAAATTCGAAGATGAGAATGATCGGACGAGTGGTTCCTAAGTTATTGAAAAACTATTGATATTTGTGGGTGGCATCTTGTGTCTTAATCTGGTACACTTTTTTGCACTACACATAACTTTCGGATAAAATCGAAAGCTTCCGCATTTACTTTTTCCACGAAATCGATTAATCATATTTTCTTCGAGAAAGTCATTTTGTTGATATTTTCGTAAACCAAATTGACAGTTTATCCCGATAATACTGTTTTGTTAGAATGATGGTGATAAATTTTCATCTCAGTTTCATCTGATCTTACTTATACCCTCAAGATGGCAGATATGATATCTCAAAGCCATCCAATTCCAACAAACACGACACGCAAACAGAAACAGAGCTTGCATTCTAATTGACATCATTCAATCTGATACACTTGTATCAGTTTCAAGAAGACCATATTGACTGTATAACATCTTTCATATTATGTACCATATTTACATTCATTCCAATGATTATTGGAATTATCATTGTTTATTTTGCTACGCCAAGGTCACGTAGGTTATTCAAGTGGATATTGTTGTTGCTAATCCTATGGTAGACATAATATTGGAATATTTCTTTCAATTGATGAAAAAACGTTTCTTGATCAACAAACTTATTCGACAGGATCAATATCTCAACCAAATTCGTTTATTCTTAATCATTTTAAATATTTTGATATTATTGTTACTTATTCAAATCGTGGAAATACTGGAATATTTTATAATTGTGGAAATGAAGCATTTACAAAACAAATTACATATCAAGTATCAACAAACTCATCTCCACAACATATAAATGTTAGTTATTTTTATAAAGATACTTATTTAGATATTGTTATTGTTGATTCTCCAATGATCAAATTCATATTTTACAACGCGATGAAAAGGGAAATTTCTCTGCGATACATTAACAACTTATGATTCAACAATTATTTGGATCGAATCCATTTACTGTTGTTGTTTATGATTTTAATCAAGATGATGAATTGGATTTAATGTGAATTATATCGCTACTTTCAATAGTATTTGATGATGGAAAATTTATTCGAGAAAATTCTTTTCCACTGTATCTTTGTATAACTGATTTGAACAATGATAAACGAATGGATGTTCTTGTAGCAAATACTAGTAGTGATAATATTGGTGTTTTTTCTTGGGAACGAAAATGGAAGTTTTAAGTCGATGATTATTAATTCGGTTCGTATTGGATCAGGTCCATGCTTTTTAACTGTTTATCATTTTAACAATGATACGTATTTAGACATTAACTAGTTTCTTCAAATGATGGTCTCAAAACAATAACTATTTGTTTTAGATTGAGTAATGGATCTTTTATTGATATGACAACATATTCTCCTGGTATTTTTGGTATCCCACAAGAAATTGTTGTTAGTGATGTAAATAATGATAATTGTTATGATATAGCTGCGACAATTCTAACTTCAAGTGAAGTCTTAGTTTATTTCAATGATGGAAATGGAACTTTTGGACTTGAACGATTATATTCAACGCAATCTGCCTCAAATCCGTACGCTCTTGTTATTACTGATCTGAATTCTGATAATCAATTAGAAATCATTACAATTTATTGAGGGACGGGTTATATTGAAATCTTAACTCAATATGAAGTTGCAGAATTTACTAATCAAACGATATATTCAACCGGAACTGTTCCTAATTCGTATTTAAAAGCGACAGGAGATTTCAATAATGATAATCAAACAGATGTTGTTCTTGCCAATTCGGCAACTGATATTTTAAGTATTCGATTTGGTTCAAATAATGGAAGTTTTTTACATGGAATAATTTATGAAATTGGAATTGTTTCTTGTCCACAATATGTAATTGCAAATCATGTTGACAAAGATAATCATTTAGATATAGTTGTTGTTAATTCTAAAGGTAATACAATGAGTTTCATTTATGGTCATGGAAATGAATCATTTGCTGATCAATTCATTTCTTCAATTGGAAATAATTCACATCCTTATTCAATAGTTATGAATGCCTTTAATTATGACAATGAACTTGATTTTCCTGTTGTTTTCTATGATAGTTCAAATTTAATTATCCTTCTAGGACAAGAAAATGGAAGGTTTGCCATATCAATGTCTAAAATTCAACAGGAAACAATTCGATCTTGTTGTTGCGAATTATGGCTTGAATAATGTTGGTATCTTTCTGGGATTTAGGTAACGGATCATTTGGTTCAATGATTACTTCGTTATACTTGAAGAACATTCTGCTCCTTATGACGCTGCTATACTAAAGATATTAATACACTAAATATTTTAATTGGATTTGGTGAAATAAGTTTTCTCTTGATAAATTCATATTCTACTGGAGATTTTTCTGCACCAGAGTTTCAGTTGCTATCAATGATTTTAACAACGATAACAATCTGGGTATTTCTGTAGCAAATAATGGCATTGATAAAATTGAAGTTTTGTTTGGATTTGGTGATGGAACATTTCTTCTAGGAAACACATATTCAACTGGAAACGGTTCGATACCAAAAGCAATTTCTCATATGGTAATTTTAATCATAATGGATGGATGGATAGATATTGTTATAACAAATTATGAAACAGATAATATTGGTGTTCAACTAGGATTTAATGATGGAAATTTCAATAATATGACAACATATTCAACTGGTTTTGAATTCTCGACCATATTCTGTTGATGTGGCAGATTTGAATAAAGATAATCAATTGGATATTGTCGTTACTAATTCCGATACGAGTCATATTTTGATTTTGTAAGGAAATGAAAATAGAACGTTTGATAATGAATATCATCCTTATTCAATAGCTATTGATGATTTAAATAAAGATCAATGGTTGGACATTGTTATTGCATGTTATCAAACAAATTCTATTGAAACATTAATTCAAATGTGCTAATCTTTTTGTACATTTTCAGCTGTATATTATTAAAAGAAATAAACACTTGTCAAATACGTAGTTACATATTTGAACTATGTATCAGAATGACATATAACTGCAAGAATGATGCTGAAGCACGTTGTTATCCTTGCACTTTGCATCTTAATGAGCAGTTTCTTCTTATATTCACATGTTAGGTATAATCAATAAATTTCTTTTACAGAAGAAAGTTCATTGATTCAATAGAAATATCTTTCAAAATTCGAGCTTGACTTTTGATAATTCCGTTGATTCCATCTCTATTATCTATTAAAAGATCAAACACTTCATGATAGTCTCAATAATCATGTTATTGTAAATGAAAAAGTTTTTTTCGATCAAAACCGTGGTATATAAGGATATCAGAGAACGTTGATATCAGCAGTTTAAACGGTTTTTTCAAGTATTCTCTTGCAGTTTGATAAACGTTTATCATTCAACGGATATTTTCCAGTGCAAGTCCTATTTACAAAATTCCTTCTATTAAAACAAAAGATAACAAACAATATATATCTTTTTATGTTTTAAAAGTAAATAGATTTATCATTTGATGCATTAGTTTTTATCTACCTGAAAAATAATGTCTGGATGAACCATTTGTTTCTTAAAGGCACATGAAAATAATGAAATTCTTTCTTTTACTTTTGTCATTATACTTTACAATTGATGTCATTTATTGCCAAACAGATCCCAATAATACGTATAATGTTCCTTTGCTGGATTTCACTGATAATCCTGTGAATAAATCTTTATTATGTTCGACGCCTGGTTGCTGCGCAATAGCATTAACTTTTGACGATGGTCCTGATGGAGCTGGTGGAGCTACGGATGCTATTGTCGATTTCTTACACAGTATTAATCTTCCTGCCACATTTTTTATAAACACAGAAAACTGGGTTAATGTTAATACAGATCTCGCTGCTCAAAAGTCAATTAAGAATATTGTCGAGTATAGATTTAATCTTGGAACACATACTGTGCATCATAAAAATTTACCTGATTTAAATAACACCGATATTGCAGATGAAATTGTTGGTGTTCAAACAACTTTAAATAAATTCATGTCTCCACCACCCCGTTTATCTTTATTTCGTGCACCTTTCGGAAAGCCTTATCAAGATGATACACAGACGCATATGAATATTGTTTCAAAAATAGCAGCAGATGCAGGTTATTTTCATGTCAGTTGGCAAATCGATTCTCAAGATTATAGTTGTGGTAACAATATCACTTGTGTCGTTGATCCAATACTAAATGCTGTTGATCGAGGAGAGTGGGGTATTGTATTAATGCATTTTGTTTATCAAAATACGGCAAATGCTTTACCTTCTATCATTGATGGACTTAAACAAAGAAAATGTGAATTTTTTACTATTGAACAATTGGTTCACGCTAAATATGGAAAATCTTCAGCAGATGTTATGGATGATTATAATAGAAAAAGTAAAGCTACTACTGCTACTTCTTCCGCGTTTCTATTAATCATCTTCATTTTTTCTAAATTTCTTTTCTAAACTATATTTCAAAGTGGCATTAAACAAGAAAGTAGTCTTATTGTGATGTGTTTTCCTGAGTAAATATCGAATTCCTAACGAAAACAATATTTTTTTGTATGAATACCGGAGTTACTGGTAGTTCATAAATTACAACTTTTAGCGGCCAACGCAAATCGTGATATTCTACTTTTTTAAAACAAAGAATTCTATGGCCATTAAAACAGCCGCTAAAATCCAAAAAGTTTGTCTGTCGATTTGGATGAGTTACAGCGAAGATTAACTTTATGTGTGCCTATCATCAAGTAGGTACTTGTGGATTGTATAAATGTACAGATACACATGCACGTGTAGTTGGCTTAGAAAATGTTCGCGTTTGTGATGTCAGGTTTTTTCCAACACAATTGAGTGTCAATCCAACTTTCATTCTCGATAGTATGTGTGGAAAAAGTAGCCGGTTTAATCAGAACGGAGTATGCTAATGATTGGTCTAACTTGGTTAATATGTTTATTTATTCAGAGTTGATTTTTAGTAGCGTGTTACTATTCGTTTTTGTATTTCAAACATAATTACATATCAATAAATCTAACCGCAGTGTTAGAATAAAATATTTTCGAGAATATTTATATTAATGAACATAACATACGTCTTTTTAATGTTTTATGATCTCATTTCGTTCACTCTATTTTCATTTTCAGTCATATTTTCTGGACAATATTCTAAAATATTAATATATTGTTCATTAGATAGAATATGAAAAATTGATAGGATCTGTGGCGGAATCGCAACTTTTGAATATGAGATCAAGATCGAATGTGATTTCTACTACGTAGTTCTGTGATCGATCCATTCCACAAGAAAAAAAACATTCGATTCGATAATCATATTGTTCGTAAAACTCGACCCACTTATGAAGAACTTCAATATAAGATAATGTATGATAATACTTTTCAATGTCAATTCACTTCTATTCAAAACTCGATATTACTATGTTGTTTAATCCAATTTTCATGAAATCTAACGTATTTAATAGTTTGTCTATCATATGTATAAACTAAATGAATATCATTGCCATCACTTGCAGTCCAAGAAGTTTGTAATATTGATGGATAAGAATATTCTCCAATGAAAGTCGAATTATCATCAGCATGAATTTGAATATCTCTAAGATGGCCATTTTATTCCATTATCATAAGAAATTGCGACAGTTAACGGTGATCGAGCTGTACCGTTCAGATTATTAAATGCCATAATAATAATAGCTCCACTTTTTAATGTACAGAATAATGAATCTATTGAATTCTTCTATCTCGAAAGAATGCTCGTAATTTCTTTGAATTATTCAAACGAATAATTGTAGGTTGAACAAGATTATCATTTTTTGTTATATTATTAAATCGAGTGAATTTCGATGTTGGTGTTGATCTTCGAAATAGAAATGAATAATCATCTATATGATTTAATGTCGAATTCTAACAAGGAAAAAGAAGTCCTTCTTTGTCGAATGTTGCAATTGTACGATTCCGATCCCATCCACCCAATGTACTATAAAATATCTGAGGACTTGTCCATGTTATACCTAAATGAAAAGTGAGTGTGTGAATACATATTTAGATGTCTATATATGTACCTCGGTCTTCACTGTACAAATGCCACATTTGAGCATAGCTTTCTTTGACATGTACCAATTGTTGTGTTTGATTATCCCAATAAGGAACTGGATTTTGATTTGAACAATTCATACGTTCACTAACAATGACACCTGGTGTAAATTGTTGTGAATTTAATTTCAAAAGTGATACTGCTATTGAACAATTGGGTTGTTGTTCACCACCTGAAAACCAAGCTACAGCTAACGTACTACTTGGACTTATCTGTTCAATAAATGATGGATGATTACCTATGTTAGGTGAAGATAAGAATGCATAAGAACTTCCATCAGTTGAACGATGAATTATTCCATCATAAGGAATTAATCCATTTAGTCCACAAACATACAGTGATAATAAAAATGCGATTGTTAACATTTTCCCTTTGATTTATTATCACATAATTTTCACTACAAATACCTTTAGTGACTACGAACAGGTGGAGTCATTTCTCATCGATACAATATTCGAAAGATTGATAAACACTACTCATAAATAGTTAAATATTTGACAGCCATTATTGATTTGACGATTTATATTTCGTGAAAATTCTGCCCACAGCCTATGTATCATGTGTCGTCTTCCATACGAGATGAACTTTTCTAACAATAGCAGATGTTCGTGACGATGAAGATAGCATGTTTTTAAATCAATCTTTCAAACTAGAGCGAGACAAAAAAATGTGTAAATTAGATGATACGGATAGAAGAGTTCATGTTCTATCCAACTGGATTCAAACTGCAAATTTTCAATAATCAGACAAAAAAACAACGAACTCCACAAAACTATTAAAAAAATCGCCTAATCGGTCTATAGAACTTTATCTTTTAACATATCATTCAAATAAGTTTTCTTTTTATTGCTATACTGGGTTGATTATCAACGTACAATAATTAATTTGAATTTATATTACTAAAAATAAAATAAAAAGTCTACGACATTATTCTGTATCAATGGAAAACTGTCGTATTACAATTTTATTTTCTGTTGAATGATAAGTTTTTTATTTTTTCTTGATAGAAGTTGAAAAGAGTTTCCATAAATAAATCCAAATCTTTGACAGTAGTTCGATGACTAACAATACACATACGTATATAAAGACGATCATGAATACGTGTTGTTGATAGAAATGCAATTCCTGACAGTTGAATATCGAGAACAAGTTCCTTATTGAACATATCAATCCTTGCTTGATCATTTTTACCAAATTCTTCAGGTTCAAATCGAAAATTAACAATATTGAGTAAGATAGGACGAAAGATATAGATTATACGTGAATGTTTATCAAGTAATGATACCAAATACTGAATTTGCTCACAGTTTTCAGCAATTTTTTGACCTAATCTTACGGTACCATGTTCTTTGAGTGTACACCAAACTTTTAAAGCACGAAATGAACGTGAAAGTTCAGGACCTAAATCACAAAACCAGATATCATCATCAGGAAAGGCTCGTATAGTTCGATTCAAATATGATTGATGTAAAGTAAATGTTGATCTCAATAGATCACCATTACGAATGAGTATGCAACCAACATCGTGAGGACAATGAAACCATTTATGAAAATCAAATGCAAGTGAATCAGCTTGATCGATACCATTAACAAGATGACGACGTTCATGATCAAGTACAACAAAACTGCCTAAAGCTCCATCAATATGAAACCAAAGATTTTCAGCACGCGCAATTGATGATAGTTCAGAAAGATTATCGAAAGCACCCACATTGACCGTTCCTTAATTTAAACAAAAATCATGACTTGATTTTACTAAGATCATTTATAAGAAAAGTTCTACAGAAATTCCATACCTGCATTTCCAACAATACAAAATGGGATTAAACCATTGCTTCGATCATTTTGAATAGCTGTTCTTAATTCTAAGGTATTTATACGAAAAGATTCATCAACTGATATAAGATGTAATGCTTTTGAACCCAAACCAAGCAATTCTAAGGCTTTGACAACACATGTATGTGTTTCAGTAGATGCATAAACAATCAGTTGATATCCACTCATCATTCCATCTTGCCTAACATTAGGTAAAATTCGCTGGCGAGCTACAGCCATACTGATAATTGTTGCCATCGATGTTCCAGTAACTAGTAGACCTCTGGTAGTCTCTTTTGGAAAGTTAAATAATTGGCACATCCATTTAATAACAGCTTTCTCAATAAACGCACCACTATGATCAGTATCACAAACATTCATATTTAATGATGCTGCAATCGTTTCACCTATGATACCACTCAATGTACCTTCCCCGACTACCCAAGCCCAAAATCGAGGATGTGCATTACCTCTAGCATAAGGTATTACATATTCTAATATATCATCACAAACAGATGCCAATGTTTGTCCTTGCTCAGGAAATGGTTCATCTTCAAGTAGAGTTCGAATATCACTTGAAGCCCATTGTCGAATAGGACGATTACGTATATATTGAATGTAGTCTAATGACGAATCAAGCATCTTATGTGTCAAGTATCGAGCTGCCCGCCAATCATCAGGATCCAAAGACAAGCTTTTTTCAGTATCTTTTGAACGAAATGATAATTTGAACTCACTAATTGAGTTAATTAAAGTAAACAATTCTGTTTTCCATTGATTAAGCGATTCACTGTCGACTACAGGTTCATGTAGTTTACTCACAACTTGTTTTATCAAACAATCCAACATTGTCGAATTCATTCTATGCAAAGAAATAAAGGAAAAAAAAGGATCAAATCGATTGTTTATTCTAATCTCGTTCTAGCTTATCTGTAGAAAATCGATCTTATTCATTTGTAATAGGATCAAAACATTTAAATAAAAGAAAAAGTGAAACAATCTAGATAGTCTCTCTGCGTCATTGAGTATACATTTTTATTACTCAATCGTTACAATACAAGTAACGCTCGCCGAGGCCGACTCGCTAAGCCCTCGACTGATTCACTTTTGATTCCACTCTTGTCATAAGACCCTTTCAAAAGATGTATCAAAGCACTGATCTCGCAGTCGGTCATCGGCGTCCCTTCGGTCCGCCACTCCCGACTGCTCGATATTGTTTATAGCATATACACGTCCTCAGATGGCACTCGCCTTCCTCTCCGACACTTCACACACAATTTAACTACTGCCC